TCGAAAAAATAATAAAAAGGCTCGCAGAGATGTTCTCATGAACTGCCATGAAGTGACAGTTCAAGGATTCATTTTGCGGCGGAGAAATTAAATTTGTCCCGATTACCGGCGCGTGACCGTGCAGCCAATACGATACGAGAGATTGGACATAATGCGGTCAATGCACCGTTGAAATAATGAGTTTGCAAGAAGAACCTCCAAACTAAAGAACATGTTCGATGACTTGGGCAAGGCGACACAAGGGTGTGCGACTAAAATCGCTTTCAGAATTCGCTTCGGTGAAAGTCGCATATACCAACGTTTCTACGGATCGTACCGGTATAGCGCGTAGCAGATTGTAAACCGTTAATGAAAACATTCATGCGTACAGTTAAATTAAGCCTTTCTGTTCCTTATGTTCGTTGCGATGTGAATATATATTTTCTTTTGCAAATAAACCTTCAAGCTCGTCAATGGTATGTATAATGTGTTTATAATGTACTTCAAGTATAAAATTTAGCTTCTTTAGGTAAAAAATTGCAATAAGACATCTTAATGATGTCGATGAAGATGATGCGAATACTTCATTTCATCAACTATTGAATACAGCAAAATTAGAGGCATATAAAATGTTCTTTCATGTGTTATTAGATTTACATTCATTATTATTTAAATTTCTGTAATCATAGAAGTGTATTAAGAACACAATTAGATATGCTTATGTCATATTCAAGAATATGTGATCGTACGTCTAATATGACCTTCCATAGAAGCATTAAAATATGTACCTTGCACGTGTACATAATTTAACATCCGCACAATGATGTTATGAAAGAAGTGACAACAAATGTGGTCGGTACTTATACAATCAAATCTAGTATTTATAATTTTAGTAGATATTGATATCGAATTAAAGAATGAATTGATTCATCGAGGATGATACTGTACTTCGTTTAAACACTAATTACTGTAATCAATAGATTTCAAATAATAAACAATCGTGATATTAATTTCATCGCTCGTTTATTGACAACCCCTATTCTATACTAGTTAGTTGCAATGTAATATGCTTACAATTAATATAGTTATCGGCTACAATGATTGCGCAATCAGTGTTCTCACTTAAATGTTGCAATCAACATAATGGAATAATATCAAATGCATCAAAATTGTTGTAAGGGAACATAAGTTTCTTTCATTTACTATACTCTTTATTAAAAATAAAATTAAAAATATTTCTGAAAAGATTTTAATCGAAATTTTAACATACCTCTCTTAAAAGATTTTAATTTAAATTTAAGATTAAAAAAATATATTGTATTAGTCTGATATGTAGAGAATTGTATAGTTTTTTTTTAATTCGTATAATTTATTTTTCAAAGCGTAAATATTATATTTCATCTCGTCGCACTGATTTCTATTTATACATAAATATTGAAATTGCGGAAGTACGTGAATCGTAAAAATTACTGAAATGTAACCGCAAGTTGCAATACTGACAAGCCATGCGATTAAAAAATTATAAGCGTGTTCTAGTTTACTTTCACACCGTAACAGTAGTAATATTCAAACGTAACGTTTTTTCATACATTTAGAATTCAATGTGCAAACACTAGCTAAAAGTCAAAGAGGGTTAATGCACATGTTAGCGTAATAAAAAATCATTTAAAAAATGACACACAGTGTGCGCGCAACATATAAACGAGTAGTGATCAACATCAATTAGTGGTCTCAGCAATAAATGATTTTTATAGTAATAGGTTTTAAAAAAAAAAAAAGATTCATATTCATTTTATTACGTGCGCGCGCTTAATAGATTTCGACAACTTAAACAATAGAAATTTTTTAATCTTCTTTACGCTTTACATTTATTATCTTTCAAAATTATTTCATTCTTTTAATTTTTTTTGCATTTGTTTTAGTCAATAATTAACGTAATCAGTCGTTGCATTATCTCTTTAAAAAAAAAAAATAAACAGAACAAAAAATTTTCTGATAATAACATTTTTGTTCAAATATGTTATTAAAATAATAATATAACTAATACGAATACAAAGCCTATAAAATAATAACATATTATTAAAATAATAATATATTATTAAGTATTAAAATATAATAATAATACGTTCTTTAAAACCAGGCCGTTTAACGTTGTACATTATCTAGTCGTACAATAACAATACTTGTGAATACTTTTAGCATGAAAGAGAACAAGAAAGCGTTGACATTGAAATGAATAGACGTAACCATCAAGACAAATAAAAACAAAGTAAGAATACATAATCAACAAGAGAAAAATTTTACGATACTCTTTACACGTGTTATTATTATTGATGAAAACGTCAGCTGATAGTACAAATAAAAGTAACAATGTGCTATATTAAGGAAAGAATTTCAATATACATATAGCACATTATTTCGAATGTCATTACAAGATAAAATTACCATAAAACTATGATCAAAATGAATATAACGTCATTTTAAAATATATTCGTTTAAAAAATATAGTATGTTATAAATTTTCCCATAAAATTTACAGTAAAAAAACTGCTTTATTGTAAATCGTTCTATTTGTAACAAGATAGGTTTTTTCTGACAAAAGTTGTAACAGAGCAACGCAAATTGCGTGATTTGATATTTCCACACTATTGCTACTAGCACGTTGCACAGGATATCGCGTGACTTCAAATCCTATCTCGCATCAAATGACGAATGGCAAACGATTCGCACACGAATGCAGCACAAATCTAATTGCTAGACTGTATGTACGATTGATGATCATTATTGTCGACCGTATTCAAATTTTATAATGTGCACCGATAATAATCACAATTTCCGGTTTCCAAAAAAAGGGAAAAAGGATGTAGTTATGTTATCTTTTTATATCGAGAATGGGGTAATTAAAACTTTCTCATAAATGCACGCGATTTCCCAATTAAAATATAACATGCGCTTATAAAATTGCGCTTGGAATCGATACCGCCGCAAAATTGCAAATCAAACGAGACTATGAATTCCATACATTTTTATTTAGTCCAGAGAAGAGAACAAAACGAAAGGTTGAACAAAATTAAATAAAATCGACCTCGAATGCCGATATTGTGGAAAATCTATCTGAATATAACAAATTATCAACTTGCATTGAATAACATGCAGTGAATTTTAGTCAAACCGTTTAGTACTAAAAACTATATACTTATTAAACGAAATTTTACAGTAATTTGTAAAGCAGATTAAAAAATCTCATCAATACATGCCATTTCTTCATTTTTTCTCTCTCTCTCTCTCTCTCTCTCTCTTCCTCACCCCCCCCCCTCTTCACTTTCTATATCCTTCTGTCTATCTCTTTCTCTAATAAAATTAATTACATGTGTACGTAGAATATATAGTATTAAAAGTATATATATAATTATAGTATATAAAAAAATCATTTATTAATAAATTATGAGTATATTATACGCTTTTCTCGAGATTAAAAAATTGTTTAAATAACTTGTAAATAATTTTTAACATCCACACGTATTATCCATTTCTGTTCAGTGCAATGAAGTAAGTTTCTATCTCTCTCAGTTTCTATAAAGGCTTTCTAACATTCTGATGCTTTAATTCAATAATTAATTCAATAATTAATCTGTACCCAATAAATATAAAGTCGACTTTCTGGGAAAAAACAAAGCATCACATAAAGAAATTTTATTTTTTATCTGCTTTTTTTTTTCATGTAGAGTTAAGTAGCCCCCTTTCCAGTTGTATTATGATTTCCAAAACACCGAGCGAAACATCTTATTGTATATGACGACGCTTAAAAATGTGAATAAGTTTTCTTATATTTCGTCAGTCACTCTTATTTGCTAAAGCAGTATCAATATCCATACAGAAGCATATCCTTCAAGTATGCATTATACAATTTCTGAACTTATTCCAAAATTGAGTTTTATGTTATATATATATATTATGAAACTCACTTTTATAAAAAAAAGATAAGTATATACATACATATAATATAGATAGAATCTGTAAGTCAGTATGGAAGGTGTTTTTTTTACGGTTGAAGTCGTTATGATCCTACAGTTTTTATAGAAGCAATTTGCATGCAGAGCGTAGAGTGGCGCATTGTGCAAAGAGATTGAACTTCTCGGGGTCAATTTAAAAATCCCAGTTCATTATTTTGCAAAACACGACATAGATCGGTACAAGCGAAATTACTATATCGCGAAAAAGCGGCTTCTCTCACTTTCCTTTTATGTGAAAATGATAGAATTTCTTCAGTGATACGCGAGACGTCACATAATTTTTTCACGAACCACATGGAAAGATAATACAATATTTTGAATAGAATTTTGGCAATATTGACTTCCATGAAATCGTAATAAATGGCAAATTCCTCACTCAAAATAAACAGAAACACAATATTAATACGAGAAATACGTTTTCGCATTTACCTACTTTATAATATAGAATTTATCAAAAAATTTCAGATATAATAATTTCTTCAATAATTTTGAATTTTACATCAATTTAATCCAAATATTCTTTTAATAAAATATTTAAACTACTGCTTGTTTAAGCATATAACAGAATCAAATTATATTATATTATAACAAGTACGATATTACTACTTCACATCATAATTATTGTAAAACATATTAAGTAGAATAGAATTATTCATAAAATAATAATTTATATTAAAATAAATATACTTTTAATGTAATATTAAAGTAAATATAATTTTAATTTAATATATATATATATTAAAATAAATAAGTTTGCTATTCCAAAAATATTCAATGCGATGCTAAAAAAATTAATATATTGTACAATGGCAAGCGATTATGAGAATAATTATGTTGTAGAAATTGTCTTTTTTATTTCTTCGTAGAAAAAGTCTTTTAAAATATAAAAAAAGTATCATATATTATACACTTTTTAATTAGGTATATTATTTAGAAATATTTAATTAAAATGTACTTGACAAACATGTTACAATTTGTCATGTAAATATTTTCTAAACCGAGACTCACCTCTTTCACTTTGTCCCTTCGTTGTCTGGCGATGTAGTCCTTATCTTCTCCGCCAATGATTAATGGCAACTTATCCGCAGGCGCTGGTGGCACTGTCACCAAAATCGTTTCTTCCTTGTGCACTATCAATGATGAGGAACTACTTGTATGCACTCGCGATTCACCCATGTCCGGTTTCTCTAATGTTTTTTGTTGTTGATATTCCTCGTTGATTTTTGCCTAAAATTTCAGCGCGCAATCGATATGTATTCCGCGATTATTTTAGATGGCAAGCGAAAGTCATACAGTATACTTTTAATTAATAATCATTAATAAATGCGACATTTAATCACAGAATGCACCGATCTGTACTATTATATTTTTACATTTAATATACAAATACATATGACCATTTTTTTCAATTTTTGATCAAATATTTTATTTGTATTTCTATATTTGAATCGCAAATATAAATCGATAAATTCAATTTAATCGCAAGACACTGCTATTGTATTTAAAAAAATGTATATACAGATATAAAAATAAAAAAATGTATAACATATATTTAAAATTATATTTGAACATTTTACTTTTCACATTTACTTTCTATTCATTAAGCTCATTTATATTTATTTTTTAGTAAAAATAATAACCAAAGAGAGTCCGTTTATGTATGCACACGTACGTGGCAATAAATGGAAAATAAACTACCAACATTTTAGTCAAAATAATTTCAATCTAAAAGATTGTTAATATCAGTATCTGGTTTAAATGTTTACAACAAAACTTGCTGGATTTCCATGACTAGCTTCGCTATAGAGAGTGCGTAATACAGTTAATAATTATCTAAATGCACATTGCTGCTAATTTTTGCTCAAACTAGGTTAGTAGTTGAAGATCTGACTAAAGGATTACATTAAAAAATTTAAAACTTGAAAAATCAATATCTTTTTAGTTATACATATAAACAAAGCTTTAGCTTTCGCTACCCTGTTTCTTTAAACAAAAATAAAATATAAATTTATTTTTATTTATTTTTCGGTATTTACAAAATAAAGATTGCATCTCTGATAAACTAAGATTGTGATCTTGTTTCCGCCCTTAAATTGCACTGTCGTTCGCAAAAATGTATTCTATATAAATCTAAATATATGTGAGTGTTTGTAGTTTATTAAGCTCGGATGTTCATAAACTTAAGTGACTGTGCGGATCAGTCACTGCTATACGGAAAGAAACCAATGCAATTCCACGAAAATCACGCTTGCCATCTGTAATCAAGATTTCACGGAAGTACATTCATTTTCGCCTTGTTCATCTCCGAACAATTGCACGCTCTCGAATGCCTTACCGTTATAAGTATCATACTATTATTAAAAAAAAAAAAAAAAAAAAAAAAAAAACTATGAGAATTACTTTCATATACAGAATAACATTTGTATTGAATCTAATTAATTTCATTTCCACGAGATTGTAAAATAACGATATTCCCTGAGAAAATGTCTGTTGAGAAACGAAGATTATTAAGATAAGATGGCAGAGGATAACGCAATATTAATCGTAATAAAATATTTTCCGTTTTCGCCAATATTTTTAAGTAAACATTTTCCATGTATCCACTTTACATATCTCAATATAATTGTCATTTTATAACTAGTTATTGCTCGTACGAATTTCTACTTATGTGTGACGAATGCATATTCATAACGTGCGTGCGTGAACGCTACTCAACGATAATGCTATTTATATTATCGCGGGATCTCTTCTTTCGCACGTTCACATAACGTTGCTCTGATAGATCGCATTTTCCTTCGTATACGTCTTTATTCGAGTCACTTCCCACGTTCCAAGCCGCGGAATAAATATTAAAAAAAAAAACAAAATATTATATATTCTCTCTAATTTCTCTCATGTATTATGACATTACGTGATACGTAGATTTTCTTTCTTTTCTTAAATTAACTTATTTCATCATGATTTAATATTGTAAGTGTATAAAATACATTGTTTTTTATTCTTAGATTTTACATAACTATATATATATATTGATTTAAATTTAGAATTATGTTTGAGTCTGTCGTTGACTCGCATAGTTGGAGTATAACCGCCTCAAAAACGAGTCTTGATTATTATTTTCTACGAAAGAGAAGAGAGAACATAACGGAAATAACAGCGGGACGAGTCACGCGGGCGTACGAACAAAATAAATCATATTCGTTGTATACATACAATTCTAATAGTACGCTTATGTGTATCAATTAATGTCTCAATCAAAAAACTTCGATTTATATAAATTTTATCATAAAAGCGTAAATTAATCACAGAAAACGTATGATACGTAAACAATCTATTTGTTAATCCGTATCTATACTAAATTTAAGGCGTACCTTCTCAACAAAGATAAATTTTTCTTTAAATATTAATTTTCTTTCTCTCTTTTCGCTTTAGAACAATTGCTAACCCATTAGAATCATCGACCGTTGTTTCTAACAAATTCACTAGATGACCAAATGATACATGTATATTCTATAGTAAATTTGCTTACTTCTATAATTTTCATCTAGTTTTAAGATACGTTATCGACCACCTTCGTCTAAATATTGAATCATAAAGATTCATTGACGCACAAAAGCAAGTTCACAGCGCGACCTTGCGCGCGACTTACTCACGTTGAGTTGAAGAAAAAGAGCGCAAACGAAATGGGAGTTTTTCAATGTCGGCGTGCACAGCAAGTCGCTAGGTATCCGGTATCGCGTTACCCTCGTTTTACCGAGTGAAATCAGATCGACTTTAAACTGGATGAATTTAAACAATCAAGTCAGCTCTTCTGCAAGATGCGCTTTAAAATGCGTCTGCATTTAATAGGACATAATTATAGAAAATGAGCAAGCAGAAAGAACTATACTCGAATGATCCTCGAACGAAATATAATGATATCTAAACATCATGAATGAACTCCCCAAATAGCTGAGATTCATTGAACTCCAAAATATTTACCTTCTAAGTTCTTCATGAACTAGCCTAATCTCTGTGTCCAAATTCATTCAAAAAGAATTGAAAAATGTAGGTATATTTTATTTATATGCATATTTGTCTAGCGATATTTAATTTGTATAAAATCAGAGTATGATTTATCCTTGTACGAAATTAAGAAATAGGAAAAGGGTGTACGGAAAGAATAAATTTTAAATCTGAGAAAAGCTTACAATTAGTAAAATAAAACAAAATTTGTTGAGATTCTCAGAAACACGTTTAGAACAAAAATAAAACAAAATGCAAACAAGAATTTCTTTTGTAAGTCGAGAATCAAACAAAGAAATCGAGTCCATATTTGCGATTAGACGCTCTCACGATGCCCTAATTTTAAAATACGCGCATCATTACAGAATAAGGCAAAAAGATTAACAGCGTGAGGTCCAGTTTTTCATTGTCTGGTTAATTCGTGATTTAAACTTTAATCTCCCTTAACTCGAAGATAATACAAAAATTGCGCTTCTCTAATCTATGAATCACTAAACTAATGATTTTGTGATAACTTTAAAAGTTATTCACTATCTGTAGATAGAAAAATACCATTTTTTACGTTACCATCAAGTTAAGTCTAACCACAAGTTAACCAAATCGAGTCTAAATCGCGAGCACAACGCTAGCTATGATCGAAGTTACGTCAGCTGTTGAACACTTTACGTTGCGCCGAGATGCGGAGTCGGTTATCTCGATTATTATCAAATATCAATATCATCAATTAACATCTATTAATGAAAACACCTGACTCGCGTTATCTTAAACAAACGGAGACAAGTCCGTTATCGCCCATTGAAACGGGATTCGTGAACGAAGTGACAGCGCGTGGAGTCCGCGCACGTGCGTCAGCCATGTACGTTATAATGGCCGTATGTAAACAAACGGAGCACAACCTAACGCAAACGGAGCGTGTCCACCTGTAAGTGCTTTCTACCGCGACGGTACTGTTTACCGGAGGGAGTTCGAACGTCGCGCAAGAAAAGTGCTTCCTGTTTGACGACAAGGGAAGCACGTTCGACAAGGCAAGGCATTCGAGAGGAGAGAGGGAGAGAGAGAGAGAGAGGTCGTTTTTAGGCGAGCGCGGAAATTCGCACCTGCAGCTTCTGCTTATCCTCGACGAGGTGTACGTCCTGGTGATCGCTACCCTCGTGGCCCGGCGGCACCGCGTTCGGGTGTCCGAACGCGGGCGAGCGCGAGTCCTTGGCGCCGGAGGCGCGCGGTGGCACCGGCAGCAGCAGCTCCGGTCCAGCTTTCTGCATGCTCTGGTACACCCGGTAGACACTGTTCACGGCGGCGCCGCCGGTACGAAAATCCGGCAGGTAGAAGAACGCGCCGAAGCACACGACGCCGAACGTCATGAACACCAGAAGGATCAGGTATTTCTCGCGCGGACGGAAGGACCGTCTCGTGAACAACGGCACCGGTACGCCGTTCGCGAGGCGCTGGTACGACGGCAGCACGCCAGCGGACGCGCTCATTTTACCGCGACACACCGACACACGTGCGTACGCGCCGCGGCACTTATCACCACTCCGCTGTCGACGGATACGCGAAAACTCGAGCACCCGTGCAGCGCGTTTCGCACCCGTGGCTCCTCAGCCGTCATACGCCATTACGAATCGAGCACCACCTGCGTGTAACAGTTGACATCTCGTGACTGTCCACCGATCGAAGCGCCCGATCAGCTGTTGTGGCGCACGCGAGAAACTACGCCGCCGACGACCGACGAGTCATGTCGGTGGGTCACTTTTCGCCCGATAGCAACGCGGGCGATTACTTACCATCGGTCAGGGTGCGAGGAGCACGTATTTCTCAGCTGATGATAAAGAGAAACCTGAAAAAGAGACTAATAAAGCTCCAGATGAAAAAGTGTGTTAGCTGGCAACGACAAGAACTTATAAATCCATATTGGTCACAATTATGTAGTTTCAATGTACAAATGTAAAAATAATTGAATCAAATTAAATTAAACAATAAATTATCATGATTTATAATTATAAAGTTCTGCTTAATAATTAGAATAATTACGATTTAATAGTTAATATAAGTAACAAATAATAATAAATATATTATTCGCAATATATTAGAATAAATTAAAGATTTTAACGAATTTATTGGCTGGTATAGCCCTGTTTCTCTTTATTAGTTTTTTAAATTTATTGAGCCATATATTAAAAACATATTTTAATAATTAATAATTAATTAGTTATAAAACTAAACATATTTTTTCATCGCAGACATGATTTGGCGGTTCAAAAAATTCAACAGGATAATATCATAAGGGGACTTTATTATTGTCACAATAAAAGTAAAGTATTTTTAAAACAAAATACTCGTACAAAAAGTATAAAATCGAACATTTGTACATTGATCTTATAACTCTTAAAAGTAATAAGTAAAGTAATACAATATAATGCAATGTATGTTAATACACGAAATGTAACTTTAAAGATTGTTAACATAAAATAAACTCCACGCATTCTCAGAGATCAAGTTTTACCTGTTCCCTACTTAATTTTTCTCTCATAATTTGCAATACAGTTTCTATTCTAACAAGTTCTATGTAGCATGGCTAGTATCACAATTCCAACGTCTCATCTGCGCAATAAAATAAAATATGTAATACAATGAAATAGAAAATATGGTTCGCTCAACTATTATATTACGTACAAAATGAATTATTGAGTGTGCTGATTAAAAAAAAGCGTGATTATATTCACGCGTATATACAAAAAAAAATTTTTTTTCAGACATGAATAACGCTGCAATTTAAATTTAAATAGATTAGTAAACTATTTTATAAAATACAAATGTCTAACAAATTATTTAATGTTATGCTAGTGTCTAAGTCTGTTATAACAATAATCTAATTTAATAAAATGTAAGTACATTGAAATATGTCTGATTAAGTACAATTTTTCTACAAATAGTATAAATTATACAAAATAAGTCTTCATTAATAAAATTTACAACAATACTTTTGTGTTTGTCGACAATCTGTTTGACAATCTTTTTATAACTTGTCTCGAGCTTAAGGGATAGATCGATGGCAAATTGTTGATCCACTTGTTGCTTATAATGATACTATATAGTATAATATAATGACACGTACACGATTTTCTGTTTGCTTTTCCATTCCTAATTGATTAATCAGGTATTACAATTTGGACTAAATCAGATATTAGCTCTGGATTTCTCTTTCACTCTTCCGTCTCTTATTCTATCATATTGTTGTCGAATAACCAAAAATTTGATTTAAAAAAGATAGGAAAAGTAGTTATGTGTGTGAGAAAGAAAGAGAATAAAAAGAATATATATAAATTAGTAGAATACAATAAAATATCAAAAAACTTTAGTCTCTTTTAGGTTTAATTTACTTTAGATTGGCCTATCTCGACAAATTGAAAAATGGAATGTTTTCATTATAAATTTTTTTTTTTTTTTATTGAATTATATATCAAATTTAATAACTTTTGTCATTAAAATTAATAAATTGTCATTAATAATAGAATATTCTAATCGTACACATTTAATTGTATACGAATGTAATTATAGTAGCTGCACAATGAGGGTCTTCAATCAAAAGTTACCTAATATTTGTATAAAATAATATAAATAATACTTATATATTTCGGTACTTTATCGAACGTTATTTAAAACTTTACTGATATACCATATATTTAATTTTATGTCTAATTTTCCGAAACTAAACTGCATGCAAGAAATAAGCATTGCTTAATTCTCGGTGTGTTTTGCGACAAACGTTATTTAAATAATACAACGCGGTTATAGATACAAATATTTTGAACTTTTGTAAACATCAATGATTTTTGTTACTATACTGATATATCATTTACTAATAAATTTACTGCAAAAAGAGCAATACTTTTTTTGTCAGCGAAAATCAATATTCGATGAAACCGGCAAGTCTTTCAATCGTCTTCTTACGGAGCAACTCAAGTAGCTTTGTTAGTCCGTCGGAAACGCGACATGTAAAAATCACAATCCGAGCAATATAGTGCTGGTTCAAGTACATTTTTCTTTCGACAGAGATTGCAGGGTGTTACGAGTGCTCTCATGGTGGTCGCAATGCCTGTTGGCGTCTGCAAAGGAGGCTGCGTCACCATCGGAATGACCTTCGCAGTGGACATCGTAAAATTTTTGGAAAACGGAGGATGCTGGTAGGCTGGATACTTCGCATTTGGCTGTATTTGACCATTCTGCATCGTCTTAGGATTAGATATCATAGGACTTTGCTGCTCTAGCTTCTGATTGTGAGACAATTGTCGCTGGTAGTTATCGTGCCTCTGCTGATAATTCTGCGTATTTTGTTGCTGTTGCTGCTGGTAGGACAGTGAATTAGAGGATGGTTGATATTGCTGTATTGGTTGGCCCACTCTGTTTTGTGGAAGAACAGTTTGATAGGGATGACCCTGATAGGAACTTTGAGAATATTGACTTTGATATGGACTCGGCGATTGATTAGGCGGATAAAATTGCTGTTGCGAATGCTGGACAGTTATTGGGCTGGCATTGTGAGAAGGAATTCGTTGATTCAGTGTATTCTGCGATTGAATTGTCGCTTGCTTTATTTGATTGTGCTGCTGCTCCAAATGATTATGCAATTGCTGCTGATAATATGTACCATAGCCGTTTTTCTGAGGTAATATCTTTGCTTGTTGCATTCCATTTTGAATGTACTGTCCATTCATTTGCGTCGGATAAGGACTAGCTGGTTTCTGAGTTTGCGATGAAGGAATAATCTGATTTCTTGGATGAGACGCTTGCGTTTGAGGATATACAGACTGCATGTATTGCGTGTATCCATTCTGAGTATATCCATTCTGAGTATATCTGATCTGCTGTTGCAGTTGCGGTGAATAGGACGTCGGTTTCGAAGAGTTCATGGGAACAACAGGATAGCTTTCCTTACCATCGATTACATCTTTACCTTCGTTTCCACAAGATCCACAAGCCTTTTTTTCTATTAGCGATCCAATCGAATCACTCGAATTCTTTCGTCCAAATGTAGGTTTAATGGTGTCTGGAATAGGATTAACACTCCTCAGTTGATCCTGGAAAGGTGTCGCCGGTACACTATCGGCTTCGTTCTTCAAAGGAAGAGTCTGTTGTTGAAATTTCGCGGTAGTATTTTCACGAATTGTCTCTGCTTCCTGAAGACTTCTGATTTCTCGCAGTACTTGAGCAGTTTCAGGTTTATTCATCGCAGAACGTAATACTCTTTCCAAAATAGGATTAGGTATATATGAATCCTTTTCGTCATCCTCCGCTGTTGCAACGAGCACCACTTGGTCGCAAAATGATACGCTTTTCTTTTTTCCAATCCGCCGTTTCACTTTTTGCGGGGCAATATCCTCTTCGCTTGGCAGTATCGTTGTGTTTTGTATAGTGTTCTGCATCGCTACTTCGCTGATGTCGTCTTCCGGACAATCAATAGGCAAACCATTCTCATGTGGGAGTGTCAAGGACATGGATAACATTGCGACATTTAATTCGCTCTGTTGAACGGATTCATTTGACGGTACCATTGTAATAAAGCTGTTTTGGCTGGAACTCGAATCAAAACTAGAGTTCAAAGCAGCCTGGGAATTTGAAGATTCCATCTTCGTGAAGACTGTGGAATTCTCAGAAGATGATTTGGCAGATTTTGTGCCCTCCATCGATGATGGTTCCTGAGACATATCCGATACTAACATCGGGGAAACGCAATTTACATTTTGCTTCGTTTGAGGTTTCACGTCTGCGTCGGATTTCAAAGTCGGTTGTAGCTTGATCTGTTCAAATCTAGCAGCCATATCTTTTACCGAGGAAGCGACTCTCGGGCAATCCGTAACATCGCGACCTTGATCGTAACTTTGTCCAAGATTACTCATCATTAAATCACTAGTTCTTCTAGCGATAGTTGGTCCTGGAATCGTCGGTAATGACGAAGTCTTGTGTTTTGGAATATCTTGATTTAAAGATCCTTGTCTCTTCATTTTCCTTTCTGCCTGTTTAGCTTGCAGTTCTCTCAACCACGTTTCGCTCGATGATTTCTCTTCGTCATCGTGCTCCTGCATACGTTTCTCTTTATTTGAATCATCAGTTGAAATTTGCTCTCTTTTATTTTGCAATTGCACTACCAGATTGCCAATCTGCTGCGTTTCAAATTGCTGCGCACGTTGTTGTGGTTGAACTTGATGCTGCTGAGTTGAATCGGCTTGAAAATGAGTTGGCTCATCGATCGGTGGCGGCGGTGGTGGGAATTCCTCACTAGCTTGTCTCGAATGTGATACTGAATGAATTAATGGATACGGCGGTGGTGGAAAATCCTCGCTCGGTTGTCGCGAATGCGAAATATTACCGTTTTCGGGATAAGGTGGTAAGGAATCTGGCTGAAATTGCTGTTTCACAGGACTCTGTTCATTGTGCACATCTGCGCGAGTGACAACGTAGGTCGGCTCATAAAGTATACCAT